AAAAAAAAAAAAAAGAAAGTCCCTCCTCCTATTGCGCCACAGAGGGCAGGATGGAACATGGGCACTTGTTTCCAACAGAGCAATGAAAGTATGAGTTCCTCCACTTCCAAAACATCCCAAGAATATTTATCTTCTTTATTTATTTTTGCAGTTTTGGCCAGGCTGGGCTTGAATGCCCCCCCACCCCCCGTATATGGGGCCAGTGACCTACTCCTTGAACCACAGGTGCCGCCCAGAATATTTATCTTCTTTGAAGCTGGTAAAGACAGATGGGGGAGTCATGCATGGCCGCTCACATGTATTATCCTAGCATTTTTGAAAGGCCAGACAGACCCCATTTTGCACTCTCTTTCCTCCTCCCCTCCTCATCACTACCTGCCCCTGATCACATAGGCCTTGCAGAAATGGGCTGTCAAACAAACATACTGTGGAGACAGGGAATTAGCACAGAAGTTACAGATTCTTGTGAAACCTCATTCGTATCTTGGCTTCCCTTATAACTACTCAACCCCCCACCCTATAGATCTAAACTTGCCTCGCTTTTGTAAACTGCTTTGCTTTGGGAATTCTACCCCACCTCCAACTGAAGGATAGATATAAAAAAACCCTTCCTTTGTTATGTGGGGCTGAGGATTTTTAGGTGTGAACCTTTCTTGGTAGGCCAGCTAATAAAGGACCCATACTCAATTCGAACATTGTGCTGGCATTTTCTCTACAATTCCACTTGAGTTGCGTACAACACTTTGGGAGGCTGAGGCCAGTGAATTATTCAAGCTCAGGAATTGGAGACCAGCCTGAGCAAGAGCAAAACCCTATTTCTACTAAAAATAGACCAACTAGTCAGGCACTGTGATGGGCACCTGTAGTCCTAGCTATTTGGGAGGCTGAAGCAGGAGGATCACTCAAACCCAAGAGTTTGATGTTGCTGTGAGCTAGGATGCCATGGTGCTCCACCCAGGGCACAGAATGAGACTCGTTCTCAAAAAAAAAAAAAAAAAAAAAAGACAGAAGAATAATGGGACATAGCCAGAGAACATCTCTGGGGAAGGAAGCCAGGCACTAGCAAGCACCCTTCCTATTATGATCTCAAACCTCTTTTTTTGTCTGTTTGCAGTTCACATAAATGACATCGCCCAAAGTTCTATATCAATTTAGGTATGCCCTGACTCCTTTTCCTGCTGCCAGGAAGAGAATGAACAATCAGCAAAGCAAACTCATGTTGCAGATTTCAATCCTATTTCTCATGTACAGACTTCCTTAACAGGCAGGGTGGGGCCAAGGAGGGCCCTCACGACTTCTTGCCTGCTTCTAGGTAAGAAAATGTACCCCATGTCCCACGTGATCTTCTCTTACCCCTAGTAAGTCCCAAGAAGGCTCCATGTCCTTTCCTTTTTCTAGAAAGTCATGCCACTCTAAGCATCCCATCATCACTGAAACTGTCAAGAAATGTGGGCTCAGGCTTGAACCTGCCACCTTTGGTGTATGTGGCTGGCTCCGTAACCACTGTGTTATGGGCACTGAGCCCATAATGGCTTTTCAATATCTTTTATGTAATATGACTGTTATACATCAATGAATAATGTTGCCAAATACCTCTTCATTATAAATAATAGTTTGGTATAATGTTACAGGATTTTATTCAGTATAAAATAGTCACTTTCCAACTCTAGATAACAGGAGACTATGTTTTTTAAATATCCTTCAGATATTTCTGTGTGATCAAGGAATTATCACGAAAAGAGGACATTAACAAAGGAGAATTATCTCAGACATTGATTTTGGGAAGACATGGGAGCTATGATATCAAGAATTTTGATTTCAAGGAAGTCCAACAGAATTTGCGAATCAGCAGGAATATGATGAAAAAAATTACAAAGTATTGACTATGACTTATAATAAAAATCTTATTGGTAGAAGAGATCAATAGGATAGCAGATGCTGGAGTAAGTTCCCACTAAACAGAAATACTCTAAGAAAACACACTTATCAATATTACAAATATGAGAAATCATATATATGCAATTTACTAAAACTAAAACACAAAATACCTTATTTAGGAAACAAATACATAAAATGTTTTGAAAATAATATTGGGTTAAGCTTTCAGTCACATGATGCTGAAATTCAGAAACTTCAAACTAAATAAAAAATTTATGAATATAATCAAGTTGAAAAATTTATCAAGAGTCTTTGTTCCTCTGCTTCACCACTTCAAAAATGTTCTCCTAGTGTCAATGATATTTTTAATAAATGTGGAAAGGTTTTTATGAATGATTCCTTGTTTACAGAACATCAGAAAACAAAAATTTGAGAAAAATCTTGCAAATGTAATAACAACTGTGGGAAGGCTTTTAGAGAAAGCTCAAACCTCACTAGCCATCAGAGAATTCATTCTGGACATAAACCTTACAAATGTAATGAGCGGCTCATTACACAGTGTGCCTTTACCTTTACACAGTGTGCAAACCTTATTAGACATCAGATAATCCATACTAGAGAGAAAACCCTATAAATGTAGTGTTTGTGGCAAGGATTATAGTCAAAATTCAAATCTTGTAAGTCATCAGAAAATTCACACTGGAGAGAAACTTTATCAATGTAATGAGTGTGGCAAAGCCTTTTCTGAGCGTTCAACCTTTAATCAACATAAGAGAATTCATACTGGAGAGAAACCTTATAAATGTAATAAATGTGGGAAAACTTTTAGAGGAATTTCAAATCTTACTAGTCATCAGAATATTCATTCTGGGCAGAGACCTTACAAATGCAATGAATGTAACAAGACCTTTAATCACATCTCATACCTCACTAGTCATCAAGAGAATTCATACTGGAGAGAAATCATGTAAGTTTATGTGGCAGAGTCTGTGGTCAAAATTCAAACCTTGTAATTCATAAGAGAATTCACACAGGAGAGAACTCTTATAATTATAATGAGTGTGGCAAAGCCTTTATAGAGTGTTCAACCCTTACCCAACATGAGAGAATACACAGTGGAGAGAAACCTTACAAATGTAATGAGTGGCTCAAGTGGCTAAGGCGCCAGTCACATATATCTGAGCTGGCAGGTTCGACTCCAGCCCAGGCCTGCCAAACAATAATGACAGCTGCAACCAAAAAATAGCTGGGCATTGTGGCAGGCACCTGTAGTCCCAGCTACTTGGAAGGCGGAGGCAGGAGAATCACTTGAGCCCAAGAGTTGGAGGTTGCTGTGAGCTGTGATGCCATGGCATTCTACCCAGGGTGATAGCTTGAGGCTCTGTCTCAAAAAAAAAAAAAAAAAGATGAGTGTGGCAAAACCTTTAATGTGTGTTCAAGCCTTACCTGACATCAAAGAATCCATACTGGAGAGAAGCCTTACAAATGTAATGAGTGTGGTAAAGTGTTTACCCAATTTGCAAATCTTTCTAGACGTCAGAAAATGCGTACTGAAAAGCAGCATTGTGAAGCAGATGTATTTGGCAGTATTTTAATCCAAAAACTTAGTGTTGAGAATCATCAGACAATTCATAGTGGAGAGAAACTTTACAAATGAAATCAGTGTGGCAAAACATTTAACATGTGTTCAAGCTTTGCTAGACATCAGAGAATCCATCCTGAAAAAGTCATATGTTCAATAAAGTTTTAAGCAAGGGTTACAATCACCTAGACATCAGACTATACATCTTTGAGAGAAATCACATAAATCTCATATATATGGCAGACCTTTTACCCAACATTCAAACTTTGTATTAGAATTCATACTGGAGGGAAATCTCATGTAATGAATGTGGTAAGCTTTTATGAAATACACATGACTGGGGTCATGAGAGAAATCAAACTGAGACAAAATATATTGAATATGAATATGGCAAAGCCTTTAGACAATGGCCTGACTTTAGGATTAAGCGAAGAATTTATATTGTAAAGAAACCTCACAAATACAGTGAGTATGACAAATTGTTTAACTTTTTCTCACAATAGGCTACATGGCATAGAACTCTATGCTAGAGGAAATGAAGT